GCATTTGTGAAATGGACAAAAAAGGCAAAAAAAAATCAAACAAACGCACAAGAAAAGAAACAACAAGCAAATGGCCCTGTGCAGAAGTGACCTTTAGGACATCACGTGGGAACCAAATCATTACCAAGTTTCTATTGAAGTCTAGTGTCATGCTTGTGCCAAGCAAATGGGAGTTGCTTTGGGGGAGGCCATGACAATTAGGCCCATTGGATTGTTGTTGTTTTTTTAAAACCATGGATTTATATTTGTGATGAATGAATGAGTGAATGAATTAATGAATGCAAGGAGATTCTTGAGGGGATGTGGTCCTACAACAGTGGTGGTTAGATGCTGTTAAGTTTTAGTTGTAAACCTGTATGACAGACATCATACTACAGGTAGAGCTTATGGTGTGTCTTGCTCTTGTGCTGTGAGCGAAAATTAAAATTATAACTGCTGCCCTAACCAGTTTGGCTCAGTGGATAGAGCGTCGGTCGGCCTGCAGACTGAAGGGTCCCAGATTCGATTCAAGTCAAGGGCATGTACCTTGGTTGCGGGCACATCCCCAGTAGGGGGTGTGCAGGAGGCAGGTGATCAATGCTTCTCTCTCATTGATGTTTCTAACTCTCTATCCCTCTCCCTTCCTCTCTGTAAAAATCAATAAAATATATTTAAAAAAACAAGAACATAAAAACCTGTAACTGCAGAGGCTCAACGGGGAGTTTTCCTAACAAGTTTTGAGTTCGTCAGGAAATAACTTCTTGTTGATCTGAGACATAAGGAAAAGGCAAGAACTTCAAATGGCCGGTGAATTGAGTTACTGTGCATGTCCCTGGTCCTGGGTGCTCCTCCTCCTGGAGGTAGCAATGAGGATCCGCTAGTTAGTTCATGGAGGAGCCATATTCAATGAGACCCTGAGACCCTCTCAAAATCTGTGTTTGCTTTAAAAGTGATTCTTCAGGAGCAAATTGTTTCTTTGTTAAAGGAATATTAAAAAATACGTCCTGTCTTGGTTTTCTCCTTTACAAAATGGAGTGACAGTGGCATTAAATATATCTTATAAGTTTTATGTGAGATAAATATATCTGCAAATGTTATTTCTCGTAATTATCACTTTACCATGTATTTTGAGGAAGATACATGGGTTGCGGTGGATAGCAATTTTTTTTTAAAGCAAGGAGTGTGCATGTGAACTAAGGTGCATGTATGTGTGTGTGCATGTATGTGTGTGTGTGTGTGTGTGTGTGTGTGTAGGTAGGTAGGGTGGTGGGCTTGTGCATGCACATACTCACTGAGATGTAGCTCTGACTTAGGGACAGAGCTGCTGCTTTAGGACTTGAATAGCCTTCCACAAATGAAACGGAACCCTGTCAGGTCGGCGAACACTCACTCACGCCCCCTGAGCGGGGGTGTTGGGTAGTTATTATCTAAAACCATTTCCAGAATGGGTAATTGTGCTTTGACTCATTCAGTTCTCCCTGCATTTCCTGACTCTTTGGGTGACTTATTTCTTCCTCTTTGCCCTTACTGCGTGTGTAATGAAACGACACATGTCAGAGTCGTTGCTGTGTTTCAAGCCAGGGTAGACTGCTCTTTTATAATGACTCAGTGGCGGGTCAGAACACAGCCTGGGGCACTCACATCACACTTATCCCTGCGCCCTGGGAAAAGAAAGAGGCGCTCAAGGAGGATATGGATTCTGTGCTTCAACTTTAGAGCTAGTCATTAGCATCCATCCAGGCAGCTGAGGAGCACAGCATTCAGGGGTGGTTTGCCTCATTCAAACCTGGGTCCTTAGCTGTGAGCTTGGGCACATGACTTTGACCTTTCTCAGCTGCAGTTTCTTGATTTTGAAAATACTGAGAATAATAGCTGCCTCATAGGATTTCGGTGACAATAAAAGGAGACATGCCATGTAAGAATAGTCTAAGCACAGTGCCAGGCTTTATAAATGTTGACTCTCAAGTGACTGTTCTTCATTGATGGAGTCCATCAGGAAGTCATTGATAGGTGACTGGTGTCTAGCTGGGAGCTGGAGTAACAGATACAGCTTCATGCAGTGTGCATGGGAGCAGCAAGAGGGGAGCGATAATTCCCACTAAGGTCAGGGCAGGTTTCCCAGGGGAAGCGGAGAAGTAACATTTCCCTGGAGAGAAGAGGCCGGAGAGGGGGCATCCACTCTGGAGAAGCACCCTGTGGGTGGGCTTGTCCTTTTGTTCAAGTTCACGTGTGTTGATGGAGTTTCCACTGTGTGGCAGGCTCTGAGTTAGATTCAGGGGACATATTGGTGAGCAGATACATGCTGTCCCTACCCTCCACAGGCAAGCCAGGCACTAAACCATCACCCATGTGGCCATCAGAGGGCGTGAGGGCAAAGATGTCATTGGGTGGTAGAGTCCTGCAACTCTGATGGGATGGGAATGGAGTGGGGTTGTCCTTTAGGGCTCTGAAGGTAACTGAGAGTTAAGGATGAATGGGAGCAAAGTTAGGACAGAGTGGGGAAGGCTCTGCCACGAGAATCAGGTCTCTTCTCAGAACTAGAGAGGCTAGGGTGGCTGGGACAAGGACACATGGCAAAGGTGTCAGAGAGGAGGCTGGGGAGATACTATGAGGAAGGTCACAGAGGGCCTTGGTCATTCGGAGCATTTGGGCCTTTGTCCCAGGTGCCATGGGAAGTCATTGAAGTGTTTTATGCACAGAGATGCTTGGATCAGACTTGTATTTTGAAAAGACCATCCAGATGCTGTGTTCACAGTGAATTAATGAGGTTACAATGGGAGTGGAGAGACGGACAAGGAGTTGGGAGGATGGTAGTGGCTTGTAGTGGGGCAGCGGTACAAGAAGCAGTTCCGTCTGGTAAACTCTAAACGACTTAGTGTCATTGGAGAATAAGACAGGCAGTGTCAAGCCACTGAAGAGACTGGTCTGGCGGACTTTGGGGGACGCTGGTGATCTCCTCGGTTTGGGCTGCTGTGACAGAACGCCATGCACAGATGTGTCTTTCTCACAGCTCTGGAGGCTGGGAAGTACAAGATCCAGGCTCTGCCAGATACACTCTCTGGCGAGAACTCGCTTTCTGGTTCATGGACAACATCTCCTTGCTGTGTCCTCACTTGGCAGAAGGGACCAAGGAGCGCTCTGGATCTGGTTTATAAAGACACTAACCCCATGCATGAGGCCTCCACCCTCAAGACTTAAGCACTTCCCAGAGGCCCCACCTCCTAAGACCAGCACCTTGGCAGGGTGGGGTCGGGAGGGGAGGATTTGACATAAGAACCATGGGGAGGCACAAACATTTGGTCCATAGCAACCTTTATGATATTTTATGCTAAGTCGTTTGCATTTATACTATAAAGAGAGCCAGTGGAGGCACAGAAGCAGAGAAATGAAATAATCAGATTAGCACGCTCATGGGGTATTTCTTTCTCTCCTCACCTACTTGTTGAGCCAGACACTTAATGAATTTTGAGTAACAGCTGGGAGAAATGGTGCACAGGACTGAAGGGAAGGTCAATGAGAGCACATTCTTTTGTGTAACACAAAAGAGGTAAAGGAAGGGGGTTACCCTTGTCAGTGGGGAAGAGTTGTTTATCTTGTAAATACTCCAATTGAAGCCATGTGAACCTCCTCTCAGGCGACAATGCTCGCACCCCTGGAAGGCAGCAGGGGCCTGGACAGATCCCAGCAAGGACAGCCATTTGGAAACACAAGAAGGGGAGGGGCTTACAAATGTGTAAAAGGGAGGAGGAATCATGGGGGAGAGGCAGGAGAGAGGGTGTGCAACTGGAGAGCTTTCCCTGCTGACAGCAGCCAAGGGATACCAGTGCAGTGTTCCCAGCTCTCAGAGTTTCCATCACCACCGAGAAGCTAGAAGGTCAGAGGGAGAAGCTAGGCCAGTGATGGTGAACCTATGACATGCGTGTCAGAGGTGACACGTGAACCCATTTTTTTGGTTGATTTTTCTTTGTTAAATGGCATTTAATACATAAAATAAATATCAAAAATATAAGTCTTTGTTTTATTATGGTTGCAAATAAAAAAATTTCTATATTTGACACGGCACCAGAGTTAAATTAGGGTTTTTCAAAATGCTGACATGCCAAGCTCTAAAGGTTCTCCATCACTGAGCTAGGAGGTCAGAGGGAGAAGCTAGGAGTTCAGAAGGAGAAGCTAGGAGGTCAGAGGGAGAAGCTAGGAGGTCAGAAGGAGAAGCTAGGAATTCAGAGTTAAATTAGGGTTTTGAGGGAGAAGCTAGAAGTTCAGAGGGATAAGCTAGCAGTTCAGAGGGAGAAGCTAGGAGGCCAGACAGAGAAGCTCTTGGGTCAGAGTGACAAGCTAGGTGTTCAGAGAGAGAAGCTAGGAGATCAGAAGGAGAAGCTAGGAGGTCAGAGGGAGAAGCTAGGAGTTCAGAGGGAGAAGCAGGAGGTCAGAGGGAGAAGCTAGGAGGTCAGAGAGAGAAGCCAAGAGGTCAGAAAGAGTGGAAATGTTTCACAGACCAGCTTTCTGTGCTGGACAGAGGACTTGAACCTGAGTGGAGGGCGTTTTGGGAGTCCTGACGCTCCATCTCTGGATGACAAAGAGTGGGGTCATTCAGTATGCCCTGGGCCAGCTTTCCTTCTCCTTCCTGGGGTCCCGGGGTTTAAGATGCTTCCACTAGGAGTGGCTGTCCCCAGTGATATCAAATAATATCAAAAATATAAGTCTTTGTTTTACTATGGACATGAGAACTGTGGAAAAGGTGGAGTCTTTGGGGGGTACTAGTATAAAAAAGACTAAAACTAGCTTCCTACCTCTAGGAAGGAGAGTCTTGCCACATAACATACCTCAGAACATTTAGAAAATGAAGGTAACATGTTCACCTTCCTTGCTCTGTGCTAAGGATGACACTGGAGTGAGTCTGAGCTTTGATGACACCATCAAGCTGTGCTCATGGTCCTCCCCGTGTCTGCCCGTGGTTGGGGTTGTTGATGGGAGGCAGCGTTTGGGGAGTGTGATCCAACTTGTGATTGTCCATTTTCCAGGTGACAGAACTCAACAATGTGAAGAACGTAGCTCGATTGCCCAAGAGCACCAAGAAGCACGCCATCGGGATTTATTTCAATGACGACACCTCCAAGACCTTTGCTTGTGAATCAGGTTCGTGCGGCAGGGCGGGCTGCTTCCAGGTGGTCAGCGGGCGCTGGGCTCACGGTTCCTCTTGGCATTCCCGCAGATCTCGAGGCTGATGAGTGGTGCAAGGTGCTCCAGATGGAATGCGTGGGGACGCGGATCAACGACATCAGCCTCGGGGAGCCCGACCTGCTGGCGACTGGGGTTGAGAGAGAGCAGAGTGGTACGTACAGAACATTCTCTGCTTTGCTCTTTTGTAGAACTGTTTTGTCCCCATATAATAAAACATAACATATCTTCATTATGTAAACTTGTTAGAATTATAAAAAATGTATATAGAAGTAAAATAACCTTTTATTTCACCTAAAACTTGTGTTAATGTTAGTGTATTTCTTTTCTTAATGTTTTCGATGCATAGTATGAATCTATCTACATGAATAACATCAGCTAGCAAATGGGGGGAGCCTGCTCTGTGCCTGTTTCTGTGGAAGGTGGATTCGATTATTTGGTTTTCCCGGCAGCCCTATGACATAGGTCCTATTAATTTCCCATTTTATAGGCGAGGAAACTGAAGCTTTGAAGAGCTAAAGATCTTGCTCCAGTTCCAATAGCTAGTGTTTGATTCCAGACTATTTTTAGTCCTGTATTTAGAATGTCCAGGCAAACAGTGACATGGATTTGTGCCTTCCCTTTTTCACTTTTATTGAAAGCCTTCCAATGTTTTTTAATAGAACTTGACCTTTACAAATACTTCATCAAGTTTAAACCCACCTAAATATGTGATTTTTTTTTCTTTCTACTGAAACACTGAGCCAACTCTTTGAGCTCAACATTCAACTTGGGAATAAATCATTATAAATAATAATGACCAAAATACTCATGACACTTCAGCAAAAAAATTAAAAATAAAAATAAATCAATGCTGGTTTACAGTGTGAGCCTGGAGGTGAGAATCATTTCTTTGGCTCCAAATGGCTGAGGCTGTGACAGGCAGATTGGGTCCCAGAGTTCTGTGTTAGCCCATTGCATTGAGCTATGAGGCTGTGTCATAACCCAGAGGTTGTGGGTCACCTGGCTCAACCAGGCACAGGGCAGAGGCGGAATGAGGCTGACCCCTTCTGTGGGCGCACACTCCACTGTCAGTAAAAAACGTCCTCCCTTCTGACAGGGACTATGTCTTCAGGGCACAGTCACAGCCTGGAACTACTTGGGAGGCACCGCATCTGCCATAATCCTCCCCCGTGGAAGCGTTATTGACGGGGACCTGGAAGTGCTGGCCAATTGGAAGGCACCTCTCATAGACTAGGAAGCTGAGCTGCAGAGAGTGGTCACGTGCCAGGGCCATGCTGCAGGCCCAGGCTCCTTCTGTGGTCACTAAGTCAGGATACGCCCAGGCTGCGAGGCCCCACCCGCCACGCCTCACAGGCATGTGCACGTGAACCCAAACACAGAGAGGATGCATGACAGGCTGTGGTTGTGTGAAATTCAGGGTGCTCCGGTCAGCACTTACTTCTCACACATTATATTTGTGAGGCTGTGTCCTGATGGCACTACGGGCTGAATGCAAGAGTGGGCTGTAACTGGAGTGACCTTCCCTGTACCAATGCCCCATGCCTCAGTTTCCTCTTCTATCAAATGGGAATGAGAATATTTTCTCTGGTAGATAAGTACTAGGGGTGATTATGAAACTCAGCTACGTCTTTTAAGGCACTTTACAATATTAATTTGCATGACTGAAAGGAATTGTGATAGAAATGGTTCCTCTCACCAATATTTGCTATTGTCATTCTCAAGCAAGGTAGTTAAAAAGGACCTTTAAGCAAATATACTGGTGATGGTCTCTCTTACTTTCTAGTCAATGATAACAGTCTTGCTTACTTGTTCCAGCAAATATTTGGTTAGAGGGAGTTTGAAATAACTTAGAAAACTTCAGTAAAAGATGCATTAATACATTTCACAGTCTTGACACTCCTACTTACTAAATTCAACTAAAATATATGAAAATCCTAATGACATCTTTACTATAAAATAATTAACTTAGACTGGCATCAATATTATTAGTGCCACTCTGTTTTGTCAGCTGTACGTTATCAACAGTGACGAGTAGGTGAAAATGTATTTGCTGTAGAGATGTTCAGATTTCACTTAAAGATTTTTGACTCAGTAAATTCTTAAATTAATGAATTTTCTAAAATATAATAGAAATACCATGATTGTGCCTGTAGAGATGAAAGTATGGTTGCAGTAATAAGTCAAAAGCTGTACTTAAAGTAATCTTAAATTTTTATAGTCATCCCAGCAAGCTAATGAACATTTCTTACCAGTATTTGGCTGAATACAGCTCACTGTTAAAACTAGTTCAGATATAGCCATTGACATCTTCCCAAACTGCTGGTCTGTGAAGTGCACGGTGTTCAAGTTGAGTTTTATTCAGACAGTTTAGGATACCGTTTTATTCTAGTTAGGAAAATGATAAGTCGACAGTTATTTCGCACCTGCATCTTTTGTGAACACAAAAGTGTGGGCGTAATGAATATGTGCTTGGCAGGGAAAAATGTTTTTAATGGTTTCATCACTTTGGTCTTTTATTGGCCTACACATTTTTTTATTATGCAAATTAAAAAATTAAAAAACCGCCCTTTGCTCATTTAAATAGTGTTTAGTGTATGCTGTCAGCCAGATTGTATCATTATTATGTGATTTAACATGGTCTTCATTTTGAAAATCATTTTCTGGGACTGTTAACGGATGAGAAAGATTTATCTCCCTGAGTATTCAGTCAAAAGCTAGACAGTGAGCCTGAATGATGTTGAAATGCCTCTTTGTTCCTACAATGTCTTTGTTGTTTTATTCCTGGGGATTTTAGACTAACCTTTTGTTTTTCTCCCAGAGAGATTCAATGTGTATTTGATGCCATCTCCTAACTTAGATGTACATGGCGAATGTGCCTTGCAGATTACATATGAGCACATCTGCCTTTGGGACGTCCAGAATCCCAGAGTCAAACTCATCTCTTGGCCGCTAAGCGCCCTGCGGCGGTACGGGCGAGATGCTGCCTGGTTCACTTTTGAGGCAGGGAGGTGAGTGTGCTCATTGCTTTTCCATGTTTTTCCCCAGGTGCACGTCCTCTGAGGCCTGGGTGTCGTACGAGACCCACCTTGCACCACCCCTTAGGGACTGCAGAGACCGTACCCGTAGGGGGTGTGCGGCAAAACTCTCATATATTAAACATGGCTTCTTTTCCAGGGACATTTCTATGTTCTATGAATATGCTATGAATTTTCATTGCACAGTTTGACTTCATACCACAGCCTGAAGTTGAACTAGGGCCAAATGTGTCCTTCACTGGTCACGCTCCTTGGGTCTGGAAAACCTCCCTGTTGTTATTCTATTTATGTTTCCTTCTCTGGGCTGACCGGCCCCTTAGCCAGGCGAGGGGCGGGCACCTTTGGAAGCTGCAGCTGGTGAGTTCCACCTGCTCTGCTCGCAGCGCAGTGCAGGGCACTGGCCCTGGAGGAGGCTGATTCTAAAACATGCCCCTTGCAATACCCAGGAGCCCTTTCCCGCTTTCCTGTTGCAAGTTCATCAGGGAGAGAGATCATGGCACCCTAGCATTTGGGTTGATCATTAGCTACAAAGAGATCAGTCTCCTTAGTGTTCCTTTCCTTCCCCCCCCCCCCGCACCCCGTTTCCTCCATCAAATGTAGGCTCTATTTTTGACATACTGCATGCAGTTTTACAAGTTAGAATTGTGAATGACTGAATTTTAAGAAACACAAGTCCGACTGAATATGGCCTGGCATTGCATTAAAGTTGGAAACAGCTTATGACCTAAAAAAAATTGTGTTAAAAATTTGAAATAAAATGAAAAGGGAGACAAAATAAAACATACAAATGTAACTAAAAACAAACAACAACATCAAAAATGTTGCGTCAGAGTGGACAGAGATATATTTGAGATAAGGAGAGTAAACACAGAATTTCTGACCACCCGAGACCCTGATCCACCCGAGTCTGTGACAGTAATGCTCCGCTCAAGTTGCTCTGTTAATTCATTCCAAACAAAGCCCAGGTATTTAAAAATTGCTTTTCAGAAATAGGATCAATTCGGTGCTCTTAAAGCCATTCTATAAAGTAGTAAGATCCCTCTCTCCCATACTGCTCTTCTCGGTCCATTTATTTTCAAATTCTGAAAGGGTCTGTCAGGTGGAGTACAATTTCACCTACGGTATTGAAATGCTATAAACAAGCTAGTGACTCTTCCAGGGATGGCAAAGGTCCTCACCTTAGAAAATAAAACTCTAATCTTCAGAGCAATGTTCTTCCTTTGCCAGAATTACTTATCATCCTCATGGGAAAACGTCTATATAGGAAATTAAGAATTTGTTTGGGAAGGTGGGTGTATTTTCCTGTTTGGGTCTCAGATGTTACCTATGTACTCATCCTAACCAGTGAAATCAAGGTGTAACATTTTATAATAGACGTTTCTATTGGCCATAAACCCATACCCTTCCGCTGTTACTTACATTGGCGCAAGGGAGAATTCTGCATCAGTTGGGACATTTGGGGCCCATCTCGGGCAACACTGATTCTAACACGAATGTTTCTCAGTTGTTCTTTGATTCACTGTCTGTAGGAAACAGGAATAGGAAAAGTGTATGCCTTTTTATCATAATTTCTGAAGCTTTTGAAACCTTAGCAAACTTTCACAGTATCTCAGGAGTATTTGAAACTTCTTTTTGAAATGACCTTAATGTTCTAGGTTTTATTGCTCCTCAATTTATTCAGATTGAAATCTGGTTGAATTTCTAAGGTTCTAAGATTATTCTAAAGACTTATATTTCTTCTAAGTCATGCAGAAACCAGAGCTGTTTTTAAGCAGGTGTGTGTGTGTGTGTGTGTGTGTGAAATCATGTTCCTCATTCGTAAACAAAAGGATGCAGGGCACAGGTGAAGAAGTGGGGAGATACTGAAATAGTTCAGGTGGAAGAAGTGGTGGGTACAAGTGTGGATGTATTGGAGACATACATTTCACAATTACCCAGTGACCTTTGACCGAAAGCTATGAAGCGCTCTCTTGGAAAATGAAAGAGTTTTACTCCATGTCCTTGGTTTCATTATGGTCTGACCTTTTGGGTATTTCCTCCAGGAACTCCAGCACTTAGGTGGTTTTAACCTACAACCCCTTCCACGGAGCCTTGAGTCTCATATAGTGAAGGGGTTTCGGATGCCTGTGATCTTGAGCAGTGTTCTTATTCATGCCATGCTGGCGAGGCTGTGCAAACTCAAGATGAAGGACAAGTATTGGGATTGTGTTCTTGAGATCTTACTTCTCAGCCAGCGTGGTGTTGGTAAGGGACCCTGGCTCAGGAGTCAGAGAGACCTGGATGCTAATCTCTGGTCTTTATGACCTGTTGACCTTGGGCAGAGAGTTCACCTTTCCCTGTAAGTTTATCCAAGGAGTAACTCCCTTGCAGGGTGAAAGCAGAGGTGCATGCAGATGGCCTAGAAGGGGCTGGGCTTCTCTAAGTAGCAGCTCTGATATTTTATTACAATTCCCCTGGGAGCAGGACTGGCTTTGCAGGATGCAGACAGTGTTAAGCACAAGGTACTATTACTGTTTCATATTTTGCCTGAAACTAAAATGAAGATGAATTTTTATAGTCCAAGATGCTCTGGATAATGAGATCATCCCTGGTCCCCCCAAGCGTGAAGGTTTCATATCTGCCTTGCTTTATTAGTGAAGATAATTTTTTCCTTGGCTATTTTTGGATGTGTTCAAAACAAGGCAGTTTCATGTTAAGTAACATCATTTCCTCCCTGTCTCCCTGCACTAAATGCAGAGGAGTTAAGTCCCTCGAGGCGAGTCGTTTTCACATGTCCAACATGCTTCCACACAGACTTTACACTGTGTCTGCTGGGAACACAGGGAATGGCCTTGGGCAGACTTCTGCTCCTCATCAGCCTCTGTGGATGGAGCTGAGTGTTCATCCTGTACAGTGGCCCCATTCCACCCACCAAGACGGACCGTGGGCACGTGTGGTAAACTGGACTGGGAGTCGGACAAAACGAAGTATATTATAATTCTACCGCATACTGCCTGTGGGAACTGGAGTGAGTCATCTAACTTCCTGAGCTTCCATTCGCCACCTGGGGCATGGGTATAATGTAACACATATTCACAAGATCACCATGGAGATTGGTAAAGCTACATGGACAAACACGTGTCTTAAGGCCGGCACCGAGTAGGCAGTTATATCAACCCAAACTGACAAAAGAAGGAAAGAAATTCATTGGCTTGCATAGCCCAAAGCCCAAGGAGTAGGGATGGCTTCAGGTTTGGCTGATTCAGGGTCAATGGCCACCGTAGGTGTCATCTCTCAGCCCTGTTTCTTCTAGGATGGCTTCCCCCTGGCTCCACCTGCTGGCTGCTAGGAGCTGTGGGCTGACCGCACACCATCAGCCTATAGAAGAGATACTGGTATTCCTGCCATATGCTGACCATTACATTCACAAGGTGTCAGGCACCGCACTGAGCACTGTATGCAAAGCTCACAGGGTGTGAATTGAATGGGGTGGTCCTCCCAGGTTAGAAAGGGGTACTGATGCCATCTGAGGGGAATGGATGTGAGGTTTAAAAAAAACACTGACAACGTGTCCAATACAACTTTTAATAATTGCTCAAAGCAAGTGGGTGAAGTGACTGACTGCAGTTAGCAGCATCACTCAGGGTGGTGCTGAGGTACAGAACACTGGGTCTCACCAGGGGGATGGCTCCCAGGGACATTCGACAAGGTCTGGAGACATTTGTGCCTGTCACAACTCTGGCAGGGGGCACTTGGTGGGCAGAGGGGCCAGAGATGCTGCTAAACCCTCACTCACCAACAGTCCTCCACACAGGGAGTTAACAGGTCCAGTTTTTTGATTGAGAAACTGCTCTTGCAGGGCTATCCACCACTGACAACAGTCACTAGCATTTACTGAGTCCTTACTACATGGAAGTCACTGTACTAAGCATTTTGCAAATACAGGCTCATTTAAACCACTCAGTGATTATAGAAACTAGGGGCTGTTATTGTTTAAATTTTTATTTATTGATTTAGAAAGAGGAAGAGAGCGAGGGAGAGAGAGAATGATTTGTTGTTTCACTTTTTCACTTATTTATGCATTCGTTGGTTGATACTTGTATGTGCCCTGACTGAGGATCGAACTGCCAACCTGATGTATCGGGATGACGCTCTAACCAGCTACCTGGGCAAGGCACTATTCCCATCTTAAAAGGTGGGCATCTGCCTGACTGGTCCAGTAGAAGATTCAGGGGTCACACTCAGATCTTCTTCCAAACCCTGTCGATTTCTAAAAAGGCTAAGTATTACCATTCTATGGGCAGTTAGCCTACTTCTTTTTCTTTCTTTCTTTTTAAAATTGAATTTATTGGGGTGACATTGGTTAATAAAATTATATAGGTTTCAGGTGTGCAATTGTGTGACACATCACCTGTGTATGTATTGTGTGTTCACCACCCAAGCCAAGCCTCCTTCCACAGAGGAGGCCTTGTTCTTTTTTTTTTTTAAATATTTTTATTGAGTTCAGAGAGGAAGGGAGAGGGAGAGAGAGAAACATCAATGATGAGAGAGAATCATTGATTGGCTGCCTCCTGCATGCCCCCCACTGGGGATCAAGCCCGAAACCCGGGCATATCCCCTGACCGGGAATCGAACCAGTGACCTCTTGGTTCCTAGGTCAACACTCTACCGCCGAGCCACACCCAGCTGGGCAGAAGCCTCATTCTTAATTGACTTCTCAGGGTTGAGGGAGAGAGGGCATCTGCCCACAGCCAGCCCCTGACGCCAGGGGGTAGCTTGTCAAAATGCTGCACTGTTATCTCAGCCGCTCACCAGGAGGAAGGCTGTCCATCAATAAGCAAGAGGCTGGCAAGGTATTGATCATTTGAATAGGCCTCCTGAGATACACTCTAACATATACATTTTCTTAATTTACTTCACTTCTGGAAGCTTCTCTTTGTCCTTTTGGTTTGGAGTGCAGGCTCATACAGCGAGGATTGGTCACCTCTCCCGGG